GTAGTTTCACTCTTCCCAGTCTGGTGGAGGTCTACAATTATTTTCCTGGTGTCCTTCGACAGCTCTTTGGTCTTGGCCATAGTGGAGTTTGGAGTCTGACTGTTTGAGGCTGTGGACAGGTGTCTTTTATACAGATGACAAGTTCAGATAACGGGGCTGGGAGGGGGGCAGATGGAGAGGGGGGAGAATCAAACCAGTTGAAATATTGGTTAAATGCATCCGCCCGGCGCTGGTCTCCATCCGCTGTCCCTCTGGTACTCTGTCCAAAGCCGGAGATGTTCTTTAGTCCTCTCCACACGTCACGGCCGTTTCCCTGGGCTAGCTCCTGCTCCAGCTTTTTCCCATAGTCCTTCTTGGCCCTCCTAATCCTCCACTAGAGCTTGTGCTGGATCCTCTTCAGCTCTTCTTTGACCCCTGAGATGAAAGCCCTTTTCTTGAGGTTCAGGAGGGCTTTAAGCTCAGGGGTCACCCATGGGTGGTTGTTGGAAAAGCACCGTACATTCCTAGTCGGTACAGTGTTATCCATACAGAAGAGAATATAGTCTGTTATACAGTGTGTCAGGCTCTTGATGTCATCACCATGAGAGCTACAGATCATGTCCCAGTCTGTGCTTTGGAAACAATCTCTCGGCCTCTCCTCGGCCACTTCACTCCACACTGTAACAGACATCTTCTGCACTGGATTCCTCCTCACCATGGGAGTGTATTCCGGAGAAAGACACACCAGAGAGTGATCAGAGCGGCCGAGCGGGAGGAGGGGGGAGGAGGCGTATGCATCTCGGACATAAGCATACAGTAAGTCCAGAGTCCTTTTTCCCCCGCATGGGGCACGTGACATACTGTTTGAATGTTGGGAGAGTAGCGGAGAGGGAGGCGTGGTTAAAGTCTCCGCTGATCTGTATCAGAGCATGGGAGCTGCAGGTCTGGATCTGGGATACAGTGCTACGTTGTTCAAAAACTCCAACGGCAGATATCTGAGCCTCATACTCACAGCAAGCAGCTCTAGGTCCTGCGTGCAGATCCGTTTAATCACATCAACATGAGCCGGGATACACCAGTCCTCATTCACGTATACCGCGACTCCTCCGTCCTTCTTTCCGCTCCCCTCCACGCTCCGGTCAACGCGCACCAGTTTAAATCCCTTCAGAGCGACCCCAGAGTCCGGTACATTTCCACACAGCCACGTTTCGGAGAAACGCATTAGTCCGCATTGTCTGTATTCCCTCTGATGGCGGGCCAGCGCGGCCAGCTCCTCGGTCTTGTTGGAGATGGACCGTACGTTTCCCATGATAATGGATGGGAGGTACAGTCTCCGATCTTCTTCTTGCGGCCTCCTCTATAGCCTCTGCGTCTCCTGGGGATCTCTACGGGGATCACCAGCTTCTCAGAGTGCAGGAAAGCGGAGTATCTTACTCCGAGAAGTTGCACCCGGGTGTAAACAATGGGACATGTGAGGGGGCATGTGGCGCTGTGAGCGGGGGCCAAAAACATGACTAATCCAGCAAAAATAGACAAGAATAGGCTTCCCGTGTGCCCTAATGCACAATGTAACACCTACTTAAAATAATATATATAAAAAAGCACATCTACAAGAAATAAATAGAGAAAGCTTGACTAGCTGCACAGCGGTGGCTGGCACTGGAAGATGAGCACTTCCCTGTTAGGTTTCATTTAGCCTGGTAGTTAGCACTGTCTATGGTGGTGACAAGTGACTGTGTTTGCAAAATTTTATTCACACCTGAATTGTGCAGAAAAAATAAATACCAAAAAGGATTCCTTCACTACAACCTCCACCTCTACGTCCAGCTCTTTTGTTTCCCTCTCCCCCTCAAATCCATTCCGGCACCGTGGCTGAGAGGACAGCAGTTTCGCTTCTCAGCAAGAAGGTCCTGGGTTTAAATCCTGGTCGAAACAGGACCGTTCTGAGTGAAATTTGCATGTTCTCCCTGTGTCTGCGTAGGTTTCCTCCGGGTGCTCCGGTTTCCTCCGGGTGCTCCGGTTTCCCCTACCACAAAAAACATGTACAATAGGTCTGGCATGTGCCTCCTGTACTGGCCAGACAAATGCCCAGAAATAACAATCGTAAAGTGCTTCATAACTCTGGTCTGAGAAAGGCGCTATATAAATAAAGATTTCTTACCACTTACTCCTACTCATTCTCTGGTCCTCCTTTCATCTCCTCTCCTTTAAAAACCCTTGTTTTCGGCCCCCAGTTTACAACAAAGTCGATCCACAGTCATGTTAATAAAATATAATAAGAGATCCACAGTGGGGAAATTTCAAATAATAAAACAGGGTCTGATTGCGCTGCTTTTGGACACATCCAAAATGAAGAAGAAATACACAAAACTGTAGGAAAAGTTAGGTCCAGGGGCAGTGTTGACGCACCACCATCAAACACAGACTGTCTAGTCTTTTCATCTGTTTTTTGATATGTTTAGCCCATTCAAATCCCTCCCTTTTGTTATACGGCATCCACAAAAAAAAAAATCGGGAAATTTGAGACCTCAGTAGCTTTTGACTGGTTTGGTAGACTTTATGAGAGTCCAGTTCTCAATGTCTCCTCTTTAAGCTACTGATGGGTCAAAATGACCACCACAGATGATTGAAAGTAGAAGAAAGATGCCCTAAATTAGGGTCTAAAGAGTCTAAATTACCCATCGCTGGTCAAGCTAGTGAAAATTCAGCTTGAAAAAAAAATATTTAGGGTATTTTTTAATATCTGTGGCGGATCAATTTCACCCAAGGATAGCAAAAGGGTTTGCAAAAAGACAGTTCTCTTTTCTCACACCAACCAAAAAAACCTTTTACTTTCTTAGAATTTTCCGCACATTGTTTTGTGTGATTATCAAAGAAATTGTCAGAAAAGATACAATACCACTGAGAGGTACTTTTGTATGGGAGGGAAAATGTCTTAGAAAACCATAGGATAGTAAATATTTTGGTGTTTAGTCGGTTGATGGATCCTTAGTCGACCAAATAGTCCACTGATAATTTCATTGGGGAGAAACAGCTGAACATTTTAGTTTTTACTGTTGATAATCAAGCAAGACGAAAGACTTCTTTCAGTCATATGTCTCTGATGGGTGAACTAGTTTTATCATTAGCAAAGTCGGGCTCAGATATGTAAAAACATTTTGAATATTTTACTCGGGCGATAATACCTGATCTTTTTGATTAAAGATTAGTTTGTTTAGATCTTAAAGCTCAGTAACTATGGGATTTTGTTTCAACATGCCCAAAACAAAGGCCCAGTGACGCTCATAGAGAACACCTTCTTAGAGAGGACATTCACACATGAGGTTGTTTGATTAAAAATACTTTGTAAACACATTTTAATTTCTTAATGATCATGTTTGATGATCATACAACCTTCTTTCAGTAGTATATAATACTTTGAGTTTATTAGTAAATGAATTGATTATTGAAATAGCACTAGTTTTGATGAATTGATTAACTTACAGCACTACATTTCCAAAGCCTCCTTTTTAGTCGACTAATTGATTGACAGTGTTTGGTTGACCAAGAATTCCTTTGGTTTACTAGAGCCCAAGCCACCCTGAGCAATAGAATACGGAGAAATAGCGACCTGTGTTTACCACCAACATATACCAAAGGATGGTTTGTTCATTGCAGATACTGTATTTCATGCAGGAAACTAACTTTGGAAAGTGTGAATTCTAATAGGTTTGTAGAGTTGATCTTTCTCGCCTCTTCTCTCCACTACCTGTCATCACTAATGTGTTATTAGTATGCACCGTGGCAGGTAAGATTGCAGCCTGTGGGTTTGGGGACAGCTTTTCTTAAGCCTGTCCTCCCGGGGATCCGGTGGATGTCCAGTCGGGGCACACTGGGCATGTATAAAAAATGATGTGTTGCTATGGTGATGGCCGCACACCTGACAGCTCGCTGCCAGCTCTCTCGCTCTGGCTCCATGTCCCTTTTCGGACAAACTGTTTTAAGCTCCCCGTATTAAGAGGCTGGTTTCCAAATCATAGATTGATTCACTTGGCTTCCGATCGTAGCCTATTTAATTTAATGAATGAAGTGTTCCGTATACAATTTAAACTTTTGTTATGAAAAACATTGCATATTGTTTATTCCTTAGTCAAGAAAGATCAAAGCTGCAGTTCACTTTACTTAATCTATGTTCAACACAGTAATCCAGTGAAACAAAGCAAGGTAAGATTATAAACAAAGTGAATAAAACAGGATACAAAACATCATGAAGCATTAAAATTATGAATAATCAACCTGGATTGCCCTGGATTTTGACATTGCCATTGTCATTGATATTTGAGCTTTTTTATTAAAAGAGAAAATGAGAGGCAAATCTCAGCCCAGAAAGTCAAATAGTGACTCACAGGGTATGTGAAAAATAAGTGTTTCATAATAAATAAGAAAGTAAGTAACCTTTGTTACTATTCACACACAGTCACAGTGCCCCCTCCATGGGGAACTTGTACTGCCGTGACATCATCCCCTACATATACTGTGAACGTCTGTTTATATTCTGTTATCTTGTAATTATTTAGTAACATTTATATATATTTGTTTTATTTTATGGAAGTGTTTTTCCTTCTGATAACCTAAATTATATATAAAACAATGTAAAGAAAGAGCACCATTTGTCGCACCACTATCGGACAGCTACTTGTGGCATTTACTTTTACAGCAATTGTTCAAAAAGGGATTTGCATAGCCTGAAGACATCCCATCACACAGATTTAATTACCAAAGTCAATTATTATTTAAAAACTGATTAAGTGCTCATTTGAGCTCATTATGGACCAAACTAATTGATATTTTAGAGCTCCATTAACTTCATAACCCCCTTGAGCCACGAGCGCTCTTCACTCACAGACAGAGAAATAAAATACAGTGTAATGTTCTGCCCACGCTGTAATTCACATGAGCTGGCAGCAGAGAAGCAATAAAACAAGAGCGAGATGTGGACAATATATTTGGACCGATGCTACGAAACAAAAACGAGCCTTCACCTGTCCAAAGCCGCGCTGAGTTCTTCCAGCCTGTGGGCAGTGTCGGTGCTGTTCCCCAGCTTCGTAAGAATGTCCATCTTCTTTGATATGACCTCCAGCATGTCCGTGATCTTCTTCAGACCTTCTCGAGACTCCAGCGCTGCAACATCTGAGGAAGAAGAAATGCAAAAACAAAACAAAAATCAATACATGGAGTTTTGCAGATGCCCCACACACAGTAGCTTGAGGCATCTGGACTATAGGGCAATAGGGCAAGTATTGAGTTGAATGTGTGATACGATTCCAATCCAATCCAATCCACTTTATTTATATAGCACATTTTAGAAAACACATTTCCAAAATGCTGCACGGATAAAAGTCATGTCATGTCATGTAATTTTCTACCCCTTTATTATTCCATGTCTGGGTCGGCGGGTGGCAATCAGAACTGCCACCCAAGTCTCTTAGCACCAGTCCCTCGCTGATCCTCCTGCAGGTGATGAGTCCACAGGATGATGGCTTCTCCGCGATCGAAGACATGGCCTCTGTCCTTCAGCCGGGGCTTCAGGCAATGTGGGGTTGCCCAGGGACACAACGGCAGTAGACATTAGTGGGAGCAGATGACATGGGTCATGGTGGGCTCAAACCCACGACCATTAGGTCCAAAGATCAGTGCTCTACCAACTGAGCTACTGTTGCCCCACGGATTGATGTAAGAGATTAATATATACATTAATATGCCAGCTTTAAATACAAACAATTAAAATGAAATAAACAACTATTAAAATAAAGCAATTAACTATATACATAAATAAACATCAAAAAGAATTGAGGCACTCGGGGGAGATCTTATATACTGTGTGCAGATAAAGGAACAGGAACTGCAGGCAATTTTTCACTCAACTTTTTTCTTTTTTAGTTTCAGACCAAATTATGAACAAAACGGATCAGACGCAGAGGTTATGGAGGAGGTTTTTGCACAATAACACAAAGAATAACCTGAGATTTTGGTTACTCAGAATGTCAGTTACTAGTGGAAAAAATAATATCACAATCTTCTGTGACACTGCACTTTTCTAACCCTGGGAATGTAGACCATTTGCTCCACATTCTTCGCTTTCCACTTTAATATTAGAAAGCTCCGTGTGGCGAGCAGAAAGAGCGAGGCAAAGCGCTCACATTCGAAAATTGCAGTTAGTGCAGCTTTAAGTCTGGTAACAGCTTTTCTAGCTCCTTTTATGTTCCGAAGGTACAGCACACGCGATGTGGAAGAATGTTGTATCCTAGTCTGAGTCCGAGTCTTTTGTAAGGTGTCATAGGGATGCAATGATACTAATACTGGTATCGGGTTGATTCCATTGGTTTGGACCAGGGGTGCCCAAAGTGGGGCCCGCGGGCCAAAGTTGGCCCGCTTGACCATTTCAGTTGGCCCGCCAAACATTGCCCACCTCCGCTGTAAGATTCTGTCTGCGTCCCTCAACCTCGCTGAACAAACAGTGACATGTCTGAGATTGCGCGTGCGCACAAACACTCTCTGAACAGAGACTGTCCAGTACTTCACTGTTGTATCGAGATACACTCCTCACTCATGGTTCACATCTACTTGCACTAAAATGTTTTTTAAAATCAAACACATCTTTCAAAACAATTGGGTGCAAGGCCCCTTTATGTTCTTTTTTTTCAGCCTACTATTATAATTTTTTTGAGCAATTTAATGTTTTATCAAATTGAGAGGATTGTGTTGGCGAACTGCCACTCCCCCTCCTCACCGGAGGGAAATGGCGAGTGGAACTATTCACCTGCGCAATCCGCACCCACCCGGTGTGTTAAAAAAGACGGACACACACACTTCAGAGTGAGTTCAAGCAGGACAAGCAGGGATCGCAGCGCACGATCCACGCAAGTAGAAGCAACAAATACTGTGCAAAACAAACCCTTCTACTACCCCATGAAAGAAGCCGGTAAGCGCCGTCCTCACTCGCGATCATTGAGTGTCAGAACTTACGCTGAGTTTTATGATGCGTTCAAGAGCCCTTTGGAGGAGCGGAAACACGGACTCTTTAACAGTTACTTTGTTTTGATTGTTTATAAATGTTGTACTGTGTTTAGGCAAAACAAAACAAACTCTAGGAACAAATCAGGGTTAACTAGTCTGATTTCGTTAGTTTAATATTCAGTTCACTACTAATTGAGAATACTTGACCTATGTTAAAAATATTAAGTTAAAACAGAATTAAAACCTGATCATGTTTAGAAAATGCAGTTAGCAATTATGTTCCCAAATTCATTACTTAATGTTTAAATGTATTGTTTAAAAGTATGCTAAAACCAGATCTATTGATCAGTGATGTCTCCCCTTTTTGATAAAAGCTAAGATAAAGTAATATGATTCAAATGTAGTTAAAAACTTTTGTTCAAAATAAATATATGAAAATAGACTTTACTTTTGTAAAGTAAATGTCCTTTGCTAGTACAATAAACCTATACATTATAAATCACTGTACTATAGTAATGCAAAACTGTTTAGAAAAAGGTCTTCAACAAACAGTTTACTGACATGAGCAGGTTAAAATATAGATTATTTAATTTAATCTTTCCGTACTGTAGTCTCCTCAAACCTGCATATTTCCCAGGAGCCTCCATTTCACTAAGACTGTGTTGATTTCATTCATTCAGCTGTGATTTGCACTGATAGACAATAATTAATGCATTTAATTGAACTTGATCAAATCTACATTTATTTGTGTTTCATGCGTAATATCGGTGTATTTGGCCCGCGGCCGACCGGCAAATTTTTACTTTGGCCCTTGGAAGCAAAAGGTTTGGGCACCCCTGGTTTGGACTCTTACTCATTCCATAGGACTCGATGCCGGCAACCAATACCCAGATTTTTTATTTACATTAGCGTCACAACCAGACCCGGCACGTGGCGTAGGCTGTATCGGCAAATGCTTAAGGCGCTGTGAATCAGGGGGTGCCACGCCAGTGTCAGAAATGGGAAAAGGGAAAAAAAAAGTGTAACTTTCACTATTTAAACTAGTTGGTTCAATTATTTCTTAACACAAAAATAATCCCACGTTTATTAAAATGCAAAGCAAAGCCATTTTTAATAGAAATAATATAATACGTTTGTAATGTTTCAACATCATGTCACGCCCCCCTTCCTTAACCGCGGTAAAGCGGCCCGGCTTTTCAAAGTCTGCAGTAATGGGCTCCGCACATTAAAAGCGGGTGGCCACTTTTGGCTGTTGCTTCTTAATTACACTTGTTCACCTTGATGCCCTCTGCTACTATGCTAGGCAAGGCAAGTTTATTTTTATAGCACAGTGGTTCTTAAACTTTTTACACCAAGTACCACCTCAGAAACGACTTGCTTCTCCAAGTACCACCACAAATGACCAACACCACACAGTAGCGTAATAAGCCTAAGTATTCATCAAAAACAAGGCAGAGGTTTCATTCCTAAAGAAGCTTTTGTATATGCTGCTCCTTCTACATGGTACGTGTTGCAAAAAGACTGGAAAGGATCTGACTGTATTTCATTGAATGCTTTCAGATCCAGATTGGCAGCACTTGAGATCTTCAGTAAAATCAGAATCAGAATCAATTTTATTGCCACGTAAGTAACAGGAAGTCACAGACTTTGAAATTGCTTTGGCTCAGTGCAAGAGTCAGAAAGAGTTAATAAAATAAAGAATAAAAAACACTTCTAAGGAATACATTTATATTTAAAATAGAGTTACAGTTACTATTTACAATATTCAAGTGCTCATGGTGCACACAATGTAAGGTGACAGCAGTACAGTGAAGTAGAAGAAGTGTTCAAGAGTCCAACAGCAGAGGGGAAGAAACTGTTCTTGTGGCGGGAGGTTCTAGTCCTGATGGACCGCAGTCTCCTGACTGAGGGGAGTGGTTGGAATAGTCCATGTGCAGGGTGAGAGGGGTCGGCTGTGATACGACCAGCCCGGCCTCAAGCTCGGGCGACGTATAGGTCCTGCAGCGATGGAAGGCTGCGGCCGATCACTTCCTCTGCAGAGCGCACAATGCGCTGTAGTCTCTGTTTGTCCCTGACTGTGGCTCCAGCGAACCACACGGTAACGGAGGAGGTGAGGATGGACTCGATGATGGCCGTGTAGAACTGCACCAACATCTGTGCAGGCAGCTTGGCTTTCCTGAGCTGCCGCAGGAAGTACATCCTCTGCTGGGCCTTCTTGATGAGGGAGCTGATGGTCGGCTCCCACTTGAGGTCCTGGGTGATGGTGGTGCCCAGGAAACGAAAGGACTCCACAGAGGTGATGGGGAAGTCCATCAAGGAGGGTGGGGGCGGGGGGACTGTGTTCTTCCTTAAGTCAACAATCATCTCCACTGTCTTCTGTGCGTTCAGCTCCAGGTTGTTACCACTGCACCAGGACACCAGCCGGTCCACCTTCCTCCTGTAGGCGGACTCATCGTTGTTGGAGATGAGCCCGATGAGGGTGGTGTCGTCCGCGAACTTGAAGAGCTTCATGGAGTCGTGGCTGGAGGTGCAGTTGTTGGTGTACAGAGAGAAGAGTAGGGGAGAGAGAACACAGCCCTGTGGGGCTCCTGTATTTATAATCCGAGAGTCCGAGACACTCTTCCCCAGACACAGTCGCTGCTTCCTGTCCGTCAGGAAGTCAGTGATCCACACTGCAAGTGGAATCGGGCACGTTGAAGGCAGAGCGGAAGTCCACGAACAGGACCCTGGCGTAGGTCCCCGGAATCCAGATGCTGTAGGATGGAGTGGAGGGCCAGGTTAATGCCGTCGTCTACAGTTCTGTTGGCTCTGTAGGCAAACTGCAGGGGATCCAGGAGGGGGGAGGTGAAGGACTTGAGATGGGGGAGGACGAGGCGCTCAAATGTCTCCATAACTACAGACGTCAGTGCCACAGGTCTGTAGTCGTTGAGACCTGTGATCCGGGTCTTCTTGGGAATGGGGACGATGGTGGAGGATTTGAGGCAGGTGGGGACATGACAGGACTCCAGCGACGTGTTGAAGATGTCGGTGAAGACTGGGGACAGCTCCTTCGCGCAGTGTCTCAGGCCCTGTTTATACTGAGACGCTGCGCAGACGTTTCCAGGCTATTAACAGAAACGACCTGACTCCTAATGCAACTTTCTCAGCGTTCACATGAGGTTGAAAAACGATGTAGTTCTAGCGCCCGGCCAGTAGTAGGCAGAGAAACTTTACAACACACTCACACGACCCCCAGCCCCGTGCCCAGCCCACCTCCCGGCAGTATATTCACTTCCTGTGCCAGACCCTCAGAATGCACCATTCTGCATTTTAACAGCAGCTGTGAACATGGGAACTGAACCTAGAGCTTCGCGTGGTCTCGTTTGGACGAACGAGGGAGTAGAATTATCCTCTGTGCTGTGCTCGAAACCCACGAAGCTTGTTAGTGCGCGCAGCGCCATTGTTGTTGATGTTTGTTCTCCGCTACTGCGCATGTCCAAATTTATGTGCAGGGAGCAGCGCGGAGGTGGGGGTCAGAGCAGAGGGGGATTTCACACCTTTTCCCCTCTCGCGGCAGCATATCTGAGTTGTCCCACTCTGCAGGCTGGATCTGAACACTTACGTTTTCACCCCCCTGAAACACAGTCTTCGTATGAATGATTGGTAGCAACCGACATCCAACTATACCGTTTTACTGGCACATTGTCTCCGTGTAAACTCAACCTCAGGGTGGAGGGTGAGATTCCATCCGGGCCAGCAACACTGCAGAGGTGTAGCCTGGAGAACTGTCCTTGTCTGGGGCTATTGTCAGTGAGGGGGTGGGGGGGCAGAGGAGCTGAGGGGTGAGGTGTCGAATGAGCAGTGGGGGGAGGTGTCAGGAGCAACATCAAAGCGGCTGAAGAACAGGTTTAGCTGCTCAGCCAATGTGCGGTCGTCAGCACAATGGGGGGCTCTTGTTTTGTAGTTGGTGAATCAAACGGAGCCCCCTCCAGTCAGAGGCAAACTGCTGTTGTAGACGCTCTGTGTGCTGGGCCTTGGCCGCTTTGAGTTCGTCCCTGTATAGGTATTTGGCCACCTTATACCCTCTGCTATCTCCCTCTTTGAAGGTGGGACTCTTTCAGTTTCCTGAGCTGCCTGAGTTTAACAGTGAACCAGGGTTTGTCGTTGTTATAGATGACCCTGGTCCTTGTTGGGATAATGCTATCCTTGCAGAAGTGAATGTATGACGTCACAGTGTCCGTGTAGTCATCCAAACTGTCTGAGGCAGCTCTGAAAATGTCCCAGTCTGTAGATTCCATGCATGAGCGCAGCTCCTCCACAGCCTCATCAGACCACACTTTGGAGCTCCTCACTACAGGTTTGGAGAGCTTCAATCTCTGTCTGTAAGCAGGAACCAGGTGGATCATGGAGTGGTCTGAGAAGCCAAGAACTGCGCGTGGAACAGCGTGATAAGCTCCGCGCACAGTGGTATAGCAGTGATCCAGGGTGTTCTCCTCTCTGGTCGGGCATGTAATAAACTGTCTGTATTTGGGTAGTTCCTGGCTCAAGTTTCCCTTATTAAAATCCCCCAGGATAATAATCAGAGAGTCTGGGTATAAACGCTGCGAGTGCGCATGGCAGTATGTACACAGAGGCAAGAATGAATGAAACAAACTCACGTGGGGAATAGTATGGCTTGCAATGAATGAAAAGATATTCCAGAGCAGGAAAACAGTTGTGAGATTTCATAACACTTTTAAGCAACTTTTGTTAAAGTTAAACTCATCATTCTATCAATGTGCAGAAGCCAGTACTTTTCCCTTGTTTTGTCTATCTGAAGGCCAAGCTACAAGCACACCGTGGAAGCTGCTGATTGGAGGTCTCCATGCCTCCGCTCTGTATAATACACTTGCATTCTCTTGTATCTGTGATCGTGTGCTTTGATCGTGCTGTCTCTACCATTGACAATAAAACATGTCTTCTGTCTGAATTAAAGACGCGATCCCAGACTATGTCATCTTCTTCAGGTGGTGGAGGATGCGGGCCTTGTCTGTAACATCTACAGAACAGAAGACTTTTTTTTTTACACAAAAAGTGTTTTTTTTTAAGCCAAAACTGAGAAACCTCAAGAGAATGCATCTGGATCAGCACATGGACAATCTGCACAGCCCCTGATTCCAGTCAGGCCTGCTGTGAGCTGCTGAGACATGGACAATACCAGCGTCCTCTTTTGCATGGACATGATTTGGAAAAATTGGATTACACAATTTGGACATCATTTGGAACAATCTGGATTTCTGAATTTGGACATAATTTGGACTGAATTGGATTTCTGAATCTGGACACTAAAGCTGAAACGTGTGATTGAAAGACACGTCACAGAAGAATTCATGGCTCGACACAAATGCAGCCTGAAGAAATCAACACGGAGAAGTGGGAGAGACTGTTTTCAAAGCAATATCTGGAACCACCATCGACTGATGAAGTTTGGTATTTTACTGAAGATTGTTGACAAGTTTTATGAAAGATCTGAACATGTTTTATGAGTTTTCTGAGTTTTTGAAGAATTCCGAGTTCTGAGTTTTTTGAAGTACCGAGTTTATGAGTTTTTGAAGTATTGAGTTATGATGTTATGTTGCTGTTTATCGATCCTGATGGTCACACGTGAATGTATGACCAGAGGGGGGAATGTGAGATTTCATAACACTTTTAAGCAACTTTTGTTAAAGTTAAACTCATCATTCTATCAATGTGCAGAAGCCAGTACTTTTCCCTTGTTTTGTCTATCTGAAGGCCAAGCTACATGGCACCGTGGCAGCTGCTGATTGGAGGTCTCCATGCCTCCGCTCTGTATAATACACTTGCATTCTCTTGTATCTGTGATCGTGTGCTTTGATCGTGCTGTCTCTACCATTGACAATAAAACATGTCTTCTGTCTGAATTAAAGACGCGATCCCAGACTATGTCATCTTCTTCACAGTTCTTGGAGATCACTGTCACATCGTTACACCAGTTAGTATTAATGTAGAAGCAGAGTCCTCCGCCTCTGCTTTTCCCTGAGAGCTTGCGCTGGCGATCCGCGCCGAACAACTGGAAACCCTGAAGCTCGAGAGCGCAGTCCGGGATCTGCTCGTTTAGCCAGGTCTCAGTGAAGCAGAGCACACAGGATGAGGAAAAGTCTCTGTTCTTAGTCATCAGTAGGGAGAGTTTGTCCATCTTGTTGCCAAGTGAGCAAACGTTGGGAAGGAATGTCCCGGGGAGTGCTGTGCGCGCACCCCTTCTCCTGAGACGCACCAACACACCGCCACGCTTTCCTCTCCTACGGGGTTTCACTTTTTTGCCTAAAACATGAGCCAAGTCGGCTGCAGACGCCAAGAAAACAGGCAGTAGGGAAATGGGAATGGTGGGTCTAATTGTCAGGATTCAGCAGACAGAGACAGATCGTGGTGCGTCAAACTCTGGAAGTTTATTTAAGTTTCTCTCAAGTTCCACTGGTTTACTTTGTTTCGTCAAATGTACAAAAATGTACATATTGAAAGTAGAGCCCATGACAAACTAACCCAGAAAGAATGGGCAGTATTTATCCATTAGGTGGTGCTTTATTTATGTAAATAAGAGTAAATCAGAGATAAGCAAAATTACAAAGATAAACACTATAAATGACAATAAATCAAAGTGAACAGACAATATACTTATACTATAAGTGCAATAGAATACTGGTGTGTGTCTTTGTGTGTTTGGGCACGTTAGTATGTGCGTTTATGCGCACGTTTGTGTGTGTTTGTGTGGTTACATCTACAGAGTGTCTTACGGGGGTCCTCTCCTCAGTCTTGGGAAAAGGTTCACGCTTGAAAACAGCCTTGTGCGCGAGAGAGAATTCATCGGCTAAAACGGCCGCCTGCTGGAGCGTGGTGACTTTCTGTTCGTTTTGATACACAACGACGCGCTCAGAGAGACAGTTCTTAAATTCCTCGATAAGAAACAACTCACGTAGCGCCTCAACAGTACCAGCTGATTTTCGAAGTCCTCTAAAACGCTGCCTATAAGCCTCGGGCACCAGCTCATACGCACGCAAAATAGCACTTTTTAGACTGTCATAGTTCAGACTGTCCGATACTGACAACGACGCACATGCTTCGGATGCCTTGCCACTCAATTTACACTGTAACAAAATTGCCCACACATCCCTAGGCCAGTGTAAGGCACTCACAATACGCTCAAAAGCACCGAAATACGACTCAACTTCGGACTCGTGGAAAACAGGGACAAGTTGGATGTTCTTAGTCACATCAAACGAGTCACACGCACTGACTGCAACAGGCGAAAATGGAGCTGGACCGCGACCCACTGCCTGCAGCTCCAATTGCCTCATCCGAAACGCAGTGTCAGCTTCTATCAATTCAATCCACACACACACTCACGCCAGGGACAAAAAGGAGAGCTTATGCAGGGCGCGCTAATCACATTGAAAACCCAAAACAGTTCAAACAAATGGTACCAGAAGAGTCATTAACAATCCTAAGAGCTTTGTTTAAAAGTCTGGATTTATAAA